GGTGACGGGTTCAGCTTTATTTTAATACGATGGGTCCAACGTAAGTTATTCCTTCATGTACATTTTGGTTTTTTTTTTTGAGAAAATCCAGGCATCTAACCTAACACTTAATTTAACACTATTAATTTAAGTTACAGAATGTTATGCACACGTTTGTTCCTATTTTTGGTATAAATATAAAATGATGCAAAAAGATTTGATACAGAACGTAACGTAAAATTATTGTTAAATAAATGTTCTATTTGTTTCCATTGTTGTTTAATCTTTTCATCTTGTCAGTTACATAACTGAGACAAATATATGACCATTTCAATAGAAACTTTGTTTCTAAATCAAAATGTATTTCTGAATCGAAAAATTGATTTGGAATTGAATCGTGACACCAAAAATGGGAGTCGAATTGAATCACCAGACACTGAGAGAGTCGCACCCCTGGCAGATTCCCATTATTCCAGGATGGTCCTCCAAGGTAGGAAAACCACAGATTCAGGGTTTTGAGCATCCGAGTCATCGCGGAGAGGACCAGACAGTTCACTGGTTGCATCATGCAGTGGCACCTTGTCACCTCTCCCTGGGTTTTTGTCTCATCAGAAAACCAAAGACGAGACGCTCGAAGCGCTTCTTGGAGAGCAGAGCGCCCAAACTGAATGAAGGTGTGAAGAGTGCCATGATTATGAAAGGAGGAAACACGAGTCAGACCATCACTCAAGCCCTCAAAGACATCGTAAGTAACCTGTGGAGGAAGTTCTTAGGGCTGTCACTCACAGCTGTTTGCATTTTCATTATCATCATCACCTTTATTAAAAACACAAGTAGGTCCATATAAAATATGAATTAAAAAAGTTAAAAAATATAAAAATCACAAATGTAAGTCACAGATTTACAAAAAGGCTGAAACACCAATGGTTCCACATTCTGGACTTAAACCTGACTGAGCTTCGTGCAACATCTGTTAGTATCAGGATGATGTAATTCGTAGAATCACGTAATCGCCACATAAATCTGTATATAATTTTACGGTATGCAGCATAAACAGTGGAGACACCAACAAATAACTGACTTGCAGCAGTCCTTCTTGGCATCCTAAGCAGCATCCTCATCCTGTCATTATATGCCACTTTGACTTTCTGTACACTGCTTTTCTTGTATTGTCTCCACAAGTGGACAGTACACAAAGGAGTGCAGTGTGTTTTATAAAGAGCCACTTTCACTGAGACTGAACACATCCTGAACTTGTGTACAAGCATGTTGGCTTGTGCATACATTAAACGAGGTAGTCTGTAAATGTCCACGTCATCAGCCAGATCATCGGTTGTTGGGGTGCAGGAAAAAAATCGATGCTTCAAAGAATCTAGATTCATAGTCCCGCCCATTCAGAATCTATTCTAAATGCTCGTGAATCAATTTTTAATTTTTTTATTTATTTTTCCTCTCTACTCCCGATCGTACTGAATCGCTTTACGTGTCCATTGGGGCACTGTAGAATTATGTCCTTGTAGGCCACCATACAGCAAGCTAGTTAGCCAGCCTGCTTTGTCTGAATGTGAGTCATTTGTTTGAATGCAGTCTGCTAGCATGGAGGAGGAAAATGTGAATCAACCTGCTCCTTCATTAAAAGCCGATGTATGGACACATTTCAGATTCTACAATGTTCCGGGCAAGACAGAACTTGACAAGAGCACAATAGTTTGCAAAAATTATAACTGAAAATGTGATATTTTGGAAATACAACAAACGTGCGGGCCCATTTAGCACCACATCACCCCTTTGCTGGACCATTTGGTTAGTCTCAATCCACCCTTTTCCATCATGCATGTCAAATCATTGAAAAAAGAGACTGCAGTGTCTTCATCAACAGTGGATTTAAGACCGTCGTCTACATAAAAATTCTTCCTGGCTGTTTTAGCTGCTTCTTGACCAAACTCTTCCTCAAAATCTGTTGCACTTTTCTGAAGTGCAAATGTTGCAATGCTTGGTGATGAGGTGGCTCCAAATATGTGAACCAACATCTTGTGTTCTATGAGCTCCTGCTCATAATTCCCATCAGGCCACCAGAGAAACCTGAGCAGGTCTGTGTCCTCATTGCTGACTCTTAACTTGGTAGAACATGGCTTCAGTGTCAGCCATAACTGCCACTTCTTCCTGTCGAAAGTGCATGAGAACCCCTAAAAGAGAGCTTGTTAAGTGTGGTCCTTGAAGATGCTGTTGGTTTAGTGATGTCCCTTGAAAACTTGCTGCTCAGTCAAAAACAACACGCAGCTTTTGTTTTACTGGATGTCTGACTCCATGATGAGGCAGATACCAGATTCTTCCATCTGCAGACTCACATTCAGCTCTTTGACGTTTCACAGCATATCCTTTTTGAAGAAGACTTTCCATGAAAGTGACATATTCTTTATAAAACTTAACATCTTTAGAAAACCTTTTCCTTAAGCTGAATGCATATTGTTCTGCAGTAAACCGATTGTTTGGCAAAGACAGGGTCTTGTTTCTTATGGGAAGACAAATGGTGTCTAGTGGTTAGGAGTCGGCGCTCTCACCGCGGCGATCCGGGTCACGGCACCAACTGTTAAAGGCGGGAGCTGGCTGCGGGCCCCCGGATCCGGAAACCCCCTCCAGCCCACGTCCTTACCCCCGGCTCGAACCTTCCTCAGAAGTGGAAACTATACTAATCAATAAATCAAGGAAACATCAATTAAGTTTTATCAAATTATATTAGAAAAAGGAAGTAAAAGATTACAATTCACAGCGCTGGACTCTACAGTCTGTGACGCCACAGACCCAGAAGAAGAGCCTCAATCTCTCGTCTCATTACTCCTTTATAGGGTCCTAGGCTCCGCCTTCGCAGAAGGGGGAGCTCAACCTTTCAGTGTATGAGGGGGCGTGGCTAATTGTGGTCTTATGTGGACTGACGTGTTAGGAAAAATATGAGACGGCGCTTCAAAGCCTTTCTACGTGATGTGGCAAGCAGATCAAACTCTATTCTGTGACAGATATTGAATCATCAGGGAGACTCAAGAGTTTGCTGACCCATTTTAACCCAGTCAGAACCGGGTCATAATTTCATTATAATCCCGTCTCTGAGCAGATCAAAACCATAGGACCAGTCTAAATAAGAAATATCTTAACAGTGTAAATAAGCCTCAAGGACTGAGACACCATCTCAATGGACTTGTGATCTTCTTGTAGACATTTCTGTGTCTTCATTTTGTCCCATGTCAGGAAAATCCTGTTTGAACTGCAGTTGCCAATGTTCTTCTAACCTGGCAACTGAGATTCTGTTAGCAGTCACTTCTGTCAGTTTGTTTCTGTCCACTGAAGCACTTCCATCTCTGAGTGGTCCATTTATTGTCCATCCTAGTCGGGTCCTCACACTGTGTGGTCCATTTCCGACACTGATGATTATCTGTAGTGGTTCCATTGCCTTGGGAACATTCGCTCCAGTAAGCAAGCCAAATTCAGCTTTGATTGTAGGAAGCTTTACATCCTTCAGGTGTGGCCAGATGTCAACATCTTCCTGACAGGGAATATTCTCTTTGGCCACAGGAGTAGTTTCCTGTGAAAATACTTCTGGAAGCTGTATGTACCAATCACCATCCAGGCTACTGATTTCAAGTCCACCAACAACAGAAGTGTTCACACGAGCTTCTTTTCCCATTGTGCACAGTAAAATACTGGTATTACGCCCCGTCATACATAGCTGGTTAATGAGCGACTTTGTGGCAAAAGTGGCAGAGCTACCTGGATCCAAAAAAGCATAGGTAGTTACTTCTTCAGTTCCTTTTTGTGACAACACGTACTGGTATAATTGACAGAACACAGTCTTTCTTACCGGCCCCAGTGACTCCAAAACTTTCACTCATTTGGACAAGAGCGCTTGATATTGTTTGTCTTTCACAACTGTCTCTTGTTGTTTTTTGTCCTGAATCTTTAGGAGTCATGTGTAGCAGTGTAGGATGTAGTCATGAACATTCTTGACACTGAGCCTTTTCCTAGCAGCTGTTGCTCATATGACCATGTTTTAGGCAGCCAAAGCATCGTCCTTTTCAAAAAGTTTATCTTCTCTGCATGTGTTTTACTCTTTAGTTTTCTGCAGGACGAAAGAGTGTGTTGCTCTCCTTTACAGAAACTACAAGGTTTGCTCTTTGGGTCTAGCTGGGGTGTCTGTTTTTGTTGTCTTTCCTGCTTGCAGCCGTCTGTATCATCTCTATATTCACCTTTGGGGTGAAAGACAGCTGTTGTGAACACCCTTTTTGCTTGAACTGTTTGTGAACGTTGCTCCTTTAATTTCTGTTTTGCAGGTTCCTTTGCATTTGCTGAATCCTTAATATTTCCATACAGTGGGTGAAGCATATAATTAACTTGCTTATTTACAAAGTCAACAAAGTCTTTAAACTTTACTCTTTTCTTTGTGTTTTCTTGCAAGTCACAAGCCTTCTTTCTCCATGTTTCTCTGAGCTTGTATGGAAGCTTGTTAACTAGAGTCTTAATGTTAGTTGTGTTGTCCAAGTCTTCCATGTAACTAATATCTGCCATGGCATTGGAGCAGCCAGAGGATTGTAGAACAGCGCCATCTTCTGGACTGATTGTCTGCCAGCTCAATATTTCACTTATATATGCTTCAGCTATTTTATAATCATCACCAAAGAAGTCCTTCAACATCTGCTTAGCATGAGCATAACCTACTGAAGGTTCCATGTGGAGGCAGCTTTTGACTAGTTCATGTGGTTGTCCAG